TTTTTGCCAGACTTCCTTTTGGTTGGGATGCATTGCTCCTGAGCTTGGAGAAGGTGATCCTTGAATTTTACCCAGCTTTCTTGGGCCCCTCTTCCCTCCAGGCCTTTATCCCATGGCACTCTCCCAAGCAGCTCCGCGCAGACGCCGACGTCTGCCCTCCTGAAGCCCAGGGCAGCGAGCTTGCTGTGTGCCCTCCTCGCTGCCTTAAGGATCTTGAACTCCACCATTTCATGGTCACTGCAGCCAAGGCTGCCCTTGAGCTTCACATTCCCCACCATCCCCTCCTTGTTGGTGAGAACAAGGTCCAGCATAGCACCTCTCCTCGCTGGCTCCTCTGTCATTATGATTTGGGCTCTTGGGTCTTTACTGGTAAATAGGAACTGTAGTGAAATTATTTGGGATAGGTGTACACATGGTAAACATTGCACTATACTAAAACTTTTGAAGTCAGTGTTCTCACGAAAAGCTTGTATAGGAAGAACCTGAAGGTCTTATACTTGAACTTAAATTCTTCTGAAACAGATATGTGTGTATAAGATCAAATTTTTACAAAGTGCTATAAGGGCTGATTGATATTGCTAATTATCATTGTGATAAGTGTTGGAAAAAAGATTTACGTGGTGTAAAATATTCCCAGTTGCTTTAAAGAGGAGTGGAATAATGTCTGAGTATTCCTGCAGTTCTTACATAGAGTTAAGTAAGAGTAACACTTGCTTCAACTACTTTACATATTAAAAGTAAGGGGTTTTCTCTGTATGTTTTATTCCAGGACCAGTCTTCAGTTGCTGTGCATACACAGACAAAAATACAGCTCTTCACAGTCGAATCATTTGGTCTTGTGATTGGACACCAGACAGCAACTATTTTATTACTGGCAGTCGGGACAAAAAGGTAATTAATCTAAAAGGAATTTTAAAACCCCAGAATTATTTTAAATGTATTTTAGATTAGCAAATGCTGTGTTCCAAGAAGCCCATATTCTATAAATACACAAAAAGCGTATTACCACAGAAATCAGCGAGACTTTCATAAGCTAGATCAGGTGCTTGAATAAGTATGTACAAGTCTGTGGTCTGCCAGTTGGACTTTCTCCCTTCTTTTTCGTACAGTAAGACAAGCATATGTCACATAACTCTTATGAGTCTCTGACTTTTTCTTTAACTTTCATAACAGAATCTGTTTTTGTTGTCAGTATCTTTAATTAAATCAGACAGACTGTCTGAAAAGTTGAATCTTTGTAGATATAGACATTTTGTACTATTTTCAGGCTCATCCACTCTGTTCTGTGCCCTGGAAGTATTTTAACGAAGTTTATTCCTTATGTTTTTGTAAATGTATTTACAAAAAGATTAAAGTGAAAATTCCTAGATGATTCTCTTCTGTACAGGTCATTATCTGGGGCCAGTGCGATTTATCTGTGACTGCTGAAGGGAATGTGTTGGATTCAATCAAACCTTGTTCAACAGTACTGGATGCCGGGGATTCTGTTACTGCTGTTAGTATCAGCCGAGTGCTTACTCCTGATGGAAGGTATTGCTGTTTTTCTGTAATGCTATTTTGTGTTTCATTTGAAATTAGTATGTTTTCCCTTTTAGTCAGTTTTATGTGGCTAAACAGCTCCTAAAATCTACCTGTCAAATATTTTGACCATTCTTTGACTGAATGACCTCTACTTTTTTATTTCCTAGCCTTCTTTTCAGGTCTATGGTGACTTCTTCGAACAGTGTAACAAGGAAAAAAAACAAGGGGGAGGGGGAGGAGAGGTGCATGAACGCACCTGGAACACATTCATTCTCCCAACAGTATCGACTGATCTGGTGTTGTAATAACCTCCATATTTTTTTCCTAACCAAATATATTTTGCAGGTTTCTGCTTTGCTCATTTTTTATGAAGAAGCTTTGATTTAAATTGTGATTTGTTTTTTGTTTTCCCATGGAAAAGTAAATATTGATTTGAAGGGCAAGGTGCAACACAGTGTTTGAGTGCTGGTTCTTTCTAGCTTGCATTAGAACTGGCTTCAGTGAGCTGCCTACTGTAATCTCTTTCAGAACTAATGCAGTTATTCTCTTGATAGATATATTGTTGCAGTAGGCTTAGAGAACGGGAAGATTATCTTGTACACATGGAAACAGAGTGGGCAAGAACCAGCACCAGCTGATTGGACTACGTGTGTTGAGGTGGATAACAGGTATGACTTTTGAAGTAAGTTAGGAGCAAGGAAATACTATTCTTGAGACTAACAGTGCTGGAGTCCTGTTCTTATACTATAGAATGATACAAAACTGGTTTATTTGTATATCAAAAATTGTCATCCTTTTAGGAAAACGTTGATCCCTGAAAGTCTAAAGATGTCTTTAAGCAAAACCTGGAAATAAAAATATTGGTTATTTAGATTTACTAAAAACCAAAAAAAACCCACAAAACCAAAAAAAAACCCCACAAACAAAAAAAACCACAAAACCAACATCAAACCCCATCGAAAACCAAGGGGGTGTGTGTTAAACCCCAAAATACTTCATGCTTTTTATAAAAAAAAAAAAGCTTTATTACATTTAGCCATAAACTAAGATGATAGAAAACACTGAAGAGGAGCGGAAAGAATCACTGTCTGTATACATCAGCAAAACATTTTGGAGTGGATGACAGCAAACTTTCAAGAGTAGCTTCTAGCAGAAACCAAAGGAATGACAGGCTGTATGTGCTGCTGCTGCGGTAACAGCTAGAGAAACTGTAAGAGAGACGTTGAATGTTTCATTTGAAGCACTCTCCTAGATTCTTCTTTCACATACTGGCATTGGTGGTACCAGAAATGAAAGCTGATGGTGACTTTGGCCTGTGTGAATTGGAAAGAGACACCAGATAACAGGAAATTGCAGGCTAAAAGCCAGAAATCTGTCATATCTCACTAACTGAGATGCTAGACCTGCAGCTTAATGTGGTAAAACTTGAAATCAATAGCTGTTTAAATTATTGATGAATGAGAGGATAAAATGTCATTAGTACTAATGGCCCTACTTATTTTACCTGCTGGTTGTTGCAAGTCAGTTTTTCCTCAGTTGGCAGGGTTAACAGAAGAGTACTAATTACATAAATGTTGATGTTTACACTCACATGTCCAACTGTGTGTGACATTTTGCAGTTACCTATGGATTTCTTTTTGTTACAGCCTAAGTCATGCTCTTGCTGTGAAATGTTTGTGTTGGAGACATCATGCAGGCAGAGCTGGACATAATGATCGGAACAGCAGCGAGTGGTTGCAGCTTGCAAGTTGTGGAGCTGATCACTGTGTTAAGATACTCAATGTCAACAGATTTGCTCTTTAGCAAAGACAGCAGGCCTGTCTATGCAAAACAGATTCACAACCTTTTATTTCATCTTTTAGCCATTTTGACTGTTGAATTTTCTGTTTTCTGCTGTGGAAAGTGAAAGATCTGATATGTAACTTATTAAAGCAACTGTTGTGGTAGTTTGAAATGTCAAATATTTTTCTAATTCTGCAGTTCCAAGAATATGAAGTATTTTATATGTTTTTGTTGGTGAATAACCTGGAACTGAGGGATGGGAGGTGGGGTAGGGCATGGGAGAAGGATAATGAGACAGCTTTGTTCACTGTGACTCCAAGGGCAGGTGGGAAGCTGCCAGTACTTGGGTTCTTCTGTGCTCGGGCCTGCAAGTGGAGTTCTGAATTTTTTTGAACTCCTTATTTCTATTAAACTGAACTGTCAGTTGGCCTGCCGCTGCTGACATTGCGTGTTTAATCATGTTTAATCGTGTTTAATCATGTGCAGTTAACCAGAGATCAGAGTTAAATATACAGCTTTCTCTGATTGCCTTCTGAATGTACATTTCAGCCCTGGTCCAAGTCTTAGACTGCCTTGCTTTAGAAGGAGTAGTTTGTGTTTGCATGCTTGGACAGGCCTCCTTGTTTGTTTTTGTTGCTTTCTTCTGCTGTGCAGAGTGCTGGGGTCATGCTTTTTGGTCATGTGGGGCTTAAAGCCTAACTTACCGACCACTGAAATCTTCTGTCTCCCCTGTGTGAGCCCTCTCTGAGCAGAGTGCTATCAGAGCCACCTCTTACTCTGCTTGAGGGCTGTCCTCTACAGTTTGGGCTGGAAAAGCTTACAAATGCCTCTAGGCAGGAGCTAAAAGGTGGCAGCCTTTCCTTACACTGCCTTTGGGCTCTTCCTGACTGTTGAGCACTCCTTATCTGTTCTGGTGAAAACAGGTGAACTTAGTTGTCTGATAGTGTTGTAATTTAAATAGAATGGTAATGCATGGTAAGTACTTCAGAAAGAAGCCTTTACCTCAGCAGGTCTGTATCTTATTCTAAAGTCTAAATTAGAAATTAGTTAAACTTTGGGAATGAAATTATTTTTGTTCCAGAACTACTTGCTACCCAAACTGGTAGTGCAGAAGCAATTGGAATTGTGTTTAACTTTTCACTGTGTTGCATCTTTGGATAAAGAGTACAGTTCTTTTAGAGTGGGACAAACTTTTCAGAATAATTATAGTTTATGTTTTAAAGGTTTTTATATTTTAGCTCTTTATTTTCAGCATTAAAAAAATAATTCTTTAAAATTACTTAGGGGAATAAAAACCCAGCTTCTTAATAAAGATGCTTTGCTACATTTTACTTGTGATACTCAGTGCTTTCCTTACATGTGTGCTTTAAGCATTTGAGTAGTATATTTTACTAGTCTGGTAATTTTTAAACCATAGGCTGTATCCTGGCAAAAGAAGGACATAACTTGACACTCATGAGGTTTCAGAAAGCTGCCAAAAGTGGAACTTTACCACGATTGTAATTTGGTGTCTTACCTATAATTTGATGATACCAGATAATACTTTCCAATACTGGTACGTCTTGTCGTGCGGCCACTCTTGCATATAGGCAAAAGTGAAACGTCATATTAGTTGTCCCTCTTATTTTGTGAAATGCTGTCGTTAAACAAGCCTCAGCTATTACATGATTTAGTAATCCATTCCGTTACTCCTGGGACTTTTGTGACTCAGTTGGATTGAAGAATATACCTCATTGTTCCAACTTTAAACACATCAGGTTAGTCTGTTGATCTCCTAAGTGTTTGAAATACACAGTTTTTAATTTTCAATTAAGTTAGAGGTTGTCAAGAGATACCTTGACACATGATTAATATTTTATGTACAATATTTATTCACATACCACTTTGCTATGCATTTAGAGGGCATGACTTACATACACCTTTATCTTCTTAGTAAATCCACTAAAGTCTTTTCAAACCAGCATGTAAATCAGCGTTGGGGTAACAAGTTCGATACTGATTTCACTATCTAAACTCATATCAGAAAATTATTTGGATCAATAGAAGTGTGATACCAAGGAAAAATTGGTGTAATTACAGTGATCATTTTTGGGGTAGCATTGGCTGCCTAATGAAGAACAGAGTTCTCTGAACAGCAAAGTAGTACCCTTTAGGGTTATTATAAGAGTCTCTAGAAAATTTGTTTTCTCTTTTGTTTGTTTTCTTTGCTTTAAAAAATGGAGAAAAGGAAGCATTTGTCAGACATTACTATATTCATTCCTACTATATTATTTTATTGGTTTGATAAATACTACTGGAATCAAGTGCCTTCTTGCTATATTTCCTTTTTTGTGGTTTTGTTTTTTTTTTCCAAAACTTACTTAATTAGGATTTTATTTGAAAGAATCAACTGATTTTGTCCATTGAATGGCTTTTATTTGCTCCCAAGTGATTTTGTGTATACTTACTCAGAGAGACTCTATTTAATTCATTAAAAGTAGTGCATACATTCATGTACTCTTTCATACTTTTTAAAAAAAAAATAATTATGACTTCAGCCTTATTTACCTGACTGACCTGACAGTAATTCTGTTTACCTACCAAGATTTCTAACTGCTATTTATATCCATTTTTATTTCTACATTTTCTTCTGTGCTTCCCTGGTGCTCTGTCATTGCTCTTCTCTCTTGTGAAGTGCCATGCCTCTTTCTGTTCCTACCCATCCTTTTTTTTTCTCTAAATATGTGATTATTTTTCACAGCCTCCCTTAGATGACAACTAATTGCACTCAGGTATATTTTGGAAGGTGGAGTTAGCCTCTATACTTTGTAAGTTGCTTGTGTCACCCTCGTTATAGCAGATAGTTCAATGTCATACAATAAAAACAAAGCCGAGGTAAGTGTAATCTTATTTCTTCCCATTTGTGTTCAAGACTGTCAGATAATCCCTGCCAACTCCAATCTTAGGAAGCTCCAACTGTTCACGATGCAGCCTCTGATACTGCATTTGTTTTCGCTTAACAATGTGATGCAAGATCATGTTCAATGGTCAGGGTAAAAACTTGCTGTCTGGAATGGGGATGGTCCCAGCTTTGCACTACCCTTCTCTGCCAGGCGTAAGGTGAGGTGTAAGGACAAGATTAAGTGATGAAAGCCTAGAGGCAAATAGTAAACATCAAAACGCACCCGTCTGTAGCAGCCTAATCCCCTGCATGAATTTTCCAACTCTAGCAGTATTACATATTTCTGAATTTCTGTCTTCATTTTTGTTACCGGTTTGGACAAAGGCAGTGTATTTATTTTAAACCTCTGTGATGTAGCAGGATACAAAGCTGATGCAGTATCCCCTATAAACTGAGGTTCTCTGTAGCAGTATTTATGCTTTACTGTCCAGTTTTGTTTTTTTAAACCAACCTTTGCATCCAAAATGTGCAGAACTGGGTCTATGCAGGTTTAGAGAGTTAAGCTGCTTAGTGCCTCGCAGCCCTCAAGTGCTACTTTCTGAAGTACCATGGGCTGATTGACGTGTGCGCTCATGTACTTTACCACGAAATACTAGCGTACATTTAATGAAATGTTGCCATAAGCACTGACACAGATGAGGCCTTGTTTCCCACAAATTTGGGCCCTTTGCAGATTGTGAGTTTTCTTTAGTGTTCCTGTGATTTAGTTACTTTTTACAGCTTTTATGTGTGGATTTTCATCTCCAGCGTGTGAGCTCAAGGTGCAGCTTCTTGTCTAGATGCTGATGGAATTTTTTTTCTTCTATTTCAAGCCTATAAAATCCATGGACTTTTACCTTTGAACACTCTGCCTTTCAGACAGACCTGGGTTGAAATGATCCAGTTGATTAAAATAACGCATAAGGATGTGTACCCATGTGTATAAACAGAGACAAGATTGGTGTACTCTTAGGAGACCAGGGTAAAAAACCCCAATTTACAAATGTGTAACTAAAGCTCTGGCAAAATGCCAACACTCGCCTCATATTTTACCCTTATGCGATTATTGCTTTAATTGTCTTTTTTTTAATCATGGTCTTTACCAATAGATGTAAAGCCTGCATGGCACCAAAAGAAAACCAGGAGAGAACATCCATCTTTAAAACCAGTTTATTGTTTTGTCTATATGGTTGCTACTGGAAAATAACACAATAATGGTATTGGCTTTTATCCCAAAATCTCAATTCCAGGAAACAAATTGCTTCTTATACTGCAGTTGGTGAGTAATTTTCCAAATTTTGTTATGTTTTTTTTTTTTTTTAAAATCATTTTAAAATGTGACCTGTTGCATCTTTCTGTGTCAACCATAGCCATAAATATATTTCAAAAGCCTATAATCATCCTAATCTGAATCTCGGTGGCAACTGCTTTCAAATACTACACACCATAGTGTTTATTTCCACTTAACTTTTCATAGTAAAGTTATATTGCTGCTTTATCTCCCTCTACCTGATTCAAAGGCAATGTAAGGAAGCTGGTGCCATTAGCCTCTCCAAGGTGTCCCATTAAAGACCACCTGGAAAATGCACCATTAGGAAGGAGAGTGTCATGTTCTGCAGTGGGAAATCTCAATTCTGGCATCCTCATGTGGACAAAATAAAAAGTCAGTTTATCACAGAGCAAAGGTGTTTAAAGACTTCTTTAAGCTTAGAAATTGAAGAGGAATGATACAGGAAAGACAAAAGGAGAAAACAATTTGTAGTTTCTCTGAGGCTTTTTCCTTTGTTTTAGTGGAGATTTAAGAGCCCTTACACATCTGCTGCTACTGGAAGTGAAGCTCTAGAATTATTTGAAGATCAAAACTTAAAAGACTTGACACTAGTCAAGTAAATAACTGAAAATTGTTTTTTTACTGATCGTAAAACATTATGCACTAGAAGGAAGTGTAGTAAACTGTAGTCTTTTGGACTAGCTGAAATAATGCTTTAAGAAACAAGCTGCTGGCACTGTACATGGCGCTCTGAAATTCTCTGCTTGTTGTGCAGTGCCATTGAGAATGGAGTTGAAAAAATTGATGGGATTAACTAAAGTTTTGCAAAGAATATTATAATACCTTTAGATATATTCAAGATAAAGCCACCCTATCAATATTTTGAATATTGATACTTTTCAAAAGTATTTTACTGGCTTTATGCTTATTCTGAGGAGAATTCATGGCCAAGGACATGAACAAACAGTTTTATGTAGTCAGACTTAAAG